GGTGAGCAAGTGATGTAACGCTACATATCGCCAAATCAGTTTCCATAATGAAACAAATTCATCTACATCCTGGATCGTCTGAGGGTGAGTACACTGACAGCACATTTTCATTTTTGGGCGAACTATTTCTTCAAGATTTCCTTGTTCAACCAACACCAACTAGACCACCAAAGCAGCATAAATCAGCCTAACACAGCATTAAACCTCAAGGGTTGCGGATCTGTTCTGATTGGACAATACAGTGAATGCAAATGATAAACGGCAACTAACAATATAGTCATGCATACTTAGGACAGCAAAATAAATAAGCTTTTAAACTTAATGAATCATCTTTCAGCCCAATCAATCTCTACAGTATTTATGGCACTATTACACTCGCCACGTTGCACTGGAGGAAAAAAAAATCTGGTGTAGAAATAGGGATATGCCGGTATCAAATTTTCATGTTGCGATTAATTGCTCATGCTTTTATCACGGTATGCGGTGTTATCACGATATCGAAATTCAGTTTTAAAAAAGTGCTGTCATAATACAGTATAACAGGTTTAATAACTTTTTTCTTATAACAAAAATAACTGAACATTTAAATGCAATAAAGCAATACAGAAAAATGTATAAAGTTAAAAGTTTTACACAGATTAAAGTGCAAAAGAACTATAAAGACCAATAGGTATCACTTTACAATAAGACCTCATTAGTTAACCTAAGTTAATGCATTAACATTCACAATGACCAATAGCTACATTTGCTACAGAAGTTATTAATCTTAGTTAAAAAATACAAGTCTTAGTTCATGTTAGCTCATTAAATAACACAGCTGCAACTCTAGATTTGAACATCCTGTTATTAAATATTGGAATACCTAAGATTAATAATTGAATACAGGGTGGTCTCTTAGCTCTGTCGTCATTCATGACAATGGCTGCACATCTGCGCTGAGCAAACATGAGTTACGAGCAGATTACAATCCCTATTCAAACCCTGCGTAATCTTGGGTAATCAGCATCAGCCTACTGTGCAGTCCACCCATGTACCATAAAGCATATCATTAAGGTTTAGGGTTTATGGCTCGGTGCTTGTTCAGAGGATGACCTATTGACAAACAGACAGATTGCATGGCAACTACATCACCTCAATGTCATTTCCTGTCCCTGTGCAGAAGGGGTTTACTGTCTCGCAGGTTTAGCAACAGCACACTTTTTTAAGGAAGGCAAACACCTCAAAAATAAAACGAATACATTTAAAAAATGAAAATGTATTTTCAATTATTAATTATCAAATTCATTTATCTTTATAATAATGGTCCTTAACATAGGCTTCATTTTTGTTCTTTTGTTCTTCTTCTTCTTCTTTTTTTTTTGAGATTTTAATGACAATTTCATCTGCATTTCACATGACTGTGATTCAAAAATAGACATTAAAATTAAATAAATAAAATGTAGTACCGTATTGGCCTGAATATAAGACGACCCTGATTATAAGACGACCCCCCCTTTTTCCAGATGTACCTTTTGGAAAAAGGCTTTTTAAAAACCAAATCTTGTTTTTTCTCAGTAAAACACATTTTGTCTTCAATTATTTTCATATTGCATATTTTTCCTATTTTAATTTTTGTTTTGAAAGTATGGTAAAAACTGGTAAAATGTACCAACAATCACATTTAAAAAATATACACTTTTTGATATACCATAAAAAAAAAAAAAAAACAGGTAGTCCATCTGAATTAGGACATTTAGGCTATCCATCTAATAGTAGCCTTCCAAAATCTTATTAACAGTAGAAGTTAAATCTTACTGTAGTCTTCAAATCTGGGTACTGTCTTACGTTTTAAAATCACAAAGTGAGTTTGGTTCCATCAGGCTAACTTGACAGTCACGACTCATGCAGCTGTAAGGTTTTCTTTTTCTTTTGTTTTTACTCGCGATCTTTACAACACGCATTACATTACGTATTTCATGGCACACTCGTTTTATACGTATTTGGCGCCACCTATTGTTGTGGGTGTATTATTGACATGTCAAAGTCTAGACCCTGAATATAAGACGACCGCATTTTTTCATATGTATTTCCAAGAAAAAAACATTGTCTTATATTCGGGACAATACGGTACATCAGAGTGCGCACGCGTCTTTCACGCAGCATACAGGGGTGTTGTGCATTTTGACCAGTTGATGGGAAAAGTATTCTTAAAATGCATTCAAAATTCGGAATAATTTGTAATATATAATTATTCACGGTATTTAGAAGTGCCCACGATAACAATATCGTGCATATTCATTACCGTGATATATCGCATTACCGAATACAGGCACAAGTCTATGTAGAAACAATTTTCACTCAGAAATTACTAGTAAATTTCACAAAAAATTACAAAGAATTGGCAAGTAACACATTGAATTAAACATTAAAATTTGAAGTAGAAAGAAGGTAGAGAATATATGTAACAAATATGATATTTGTTTTAAAATTGATACATTTCCAGGTTTAATTTTAAGGACATCTTTGTTTATTTTTGCATGAAAAACAATTTCAATGTTGCATTTGGGTTACGTAACATCTAAGTCTTAAAAAAAAAACTGTTAAAAACCAACTTCGGTTGGATCATAGTGGTGTATATTCTTTGCATGATATTTTTGCAATCAGGATGCATGCGCGCATTCAGCACTTCCTCACATTTATAATGCAAGAATGGATTTTTTTTCTGGGAAGGAAATTGATCGAATATGACTGGAGGCATGGGAAAGTTTATCTTTTGATTTCTGTCGCTGTTGATGATTTGTGACTATTGCCATTAAATATTTCATTCAAGATGATTTGTTTACTCTGCCAAAAACACCAGGCTACATGACGAGTCTGCTGTCCCCTGAAACACCCCTTAGACTGATTCAGTTGGAAATTTTCTCCGCATTCCCTCCGTCTGGGTTCAAAGAAAACACAGGTGCACCCACTAACATCTGGTGAGTCTGAAAACACCACAAAACATGTTATGGTCTGCTGGGAACGACCACGGTGGAGGTCACCTGGATGACTACGTGATGTGAGCTACATCCTACTCCCTCGTGTAAGGTACAGTACACATGCATGATATTGAGTGTCACTGACAACTATTTAATTAAAATAATTACATTTATTTAAAATATTTACATTTAAAGAAATAATACTATTATAAACCAAAACAAAATATAAATGAAAACTGAAAATATAAAAATAAATCCTGAAAATATAAAAAAATAATTTTGACCCTCTAACTCTAGCACTTTCTATTCTATTTTTAATTCTACTTTATCTACATTTATATAATACATTTATAATACTTTATCTACATTACATTTGTATAATATATATATATATATATATACACACACCTTGCTACGTGTACTGCGTTAGGCTAACCGAGACTTGTCATTTGCACTTATATATTGTTGCTCTTTTGTTAGTTTTGACTGCTTTTATTGTCCTCATTTGTAAGTCGCTTTGGATAAAAGCGTCCGCTAAATGACTAAATGTAAATGTAAATGTAAAAATATAAAAACATTTTTTTTAAATAACACTAAAGTAAAACACTGTCAAGAACAAGTTTTAGTCATATTTAACACCAAAATCAAAACAATGAGATAAGAAATATATTTTGCTTAAAGTAAATGAAGCCTATTTTCAGCAACATTAATATATTTTGCATTCTGACATTATTTTTGACAATTAAGCAATTATTTTAAACACACACACATATATATATATATATTTTTTTTTAAATCAAGGCAACATGATGCATCATGTTCTATTTGTTTGTCCACTAAATGCAAAATGTCTTAAGTCAATAAATTCTTGAGAATTTGACTATAAATTCTTGACAATGCCACTATATGTATATCTAGTTCTGTAAATTACAAATTAGCAACTTTAGAAATTAACTAGTGATAATCAAAGAAAATTCTGCTATATTAGCTTGTGAAGTACATTCTAAGCAACATAATGTGCACAATGCTCGACGATGAACAAACAATTAAATGATGAGCTCTCAAAATCAACATATAACAAATAACCAGTGAAGACAAAATAACAATAACAGCAGCAGCACAAATAAAGTCAGCAAACAGCAAATCAATAATCCTATAACACGAACTGCATAATTTACACAAACTCCATTTGATTCACGCTGCAATGTATTCTGGGAGCTCACAAGCCATTAATAAATCAGCAATATTATTCAATATGAAATTGTTTGCACAACTCTATTTGAGACAACATTCAGCAGAATATTGTTTATATAGCAGGTGTCTTTATGTAGATTTGCATAAATTCAGGTCTCTGTGACTCAAAAAAGCCTATGTCAGGGATAACTCTTTTTTTTTTTTTTTTACAGTTTTTTTACGCTAATTTGCCATTTATGTCACACTTTTATCCAAAACAACTTACAGGTACCTGTGCACTGACCTAAGGTGGAGTGTTTTCACATAATTTATGGATCAACTCGTGCAGGGCTTGAACCTACAACCTTTGGGTGACCAGCCCAGATATTTCACCTTTCAATGGCTTTTCATAAAGTGCACGATGCCTGTCAGCTGTCATAAATATTGACTGACTGTAACTTTTCATTTCCTCTATAGTCTGAGATTAAATGTCAGGACCCCCATTATGAAAGTGTTAAATCCAGAAATCGTAACAGTATCAGTTTAGCTCAAAAATACACTTGATAATTTAGTCAATTAAGCATTTCATGCAAACACACACTGTAAGTTTATTAGCAGCAGCAATGACATGTTACTCAATAACAATCTAAACTTGCACAACAACCCTCTAGATCTAAAAAGAGTAGTGAAAAGAATCTAAAACACTGAAAGCATGTCAAAGTTTTTAGTATATGTGGCTTTATACTGTACTCTGCAGCACGCCAACAGGAAAGCCAGCTTTAATGAAAACACACCGTAATAATAAATCTAGTTTTACATCACACAACACAATCAAGCCTCACATTTCACACTAGTTGTGCGTTTATTTACCTTTTCGCGTCTTGTTCCTTGTTTCTCCATCCTGTCCTACTTTAGTATCCAACTGTTTCAAACTTTCATCCCATGATACTTCACACGCTCCGAATCCATGAGAAAAAAGCCTGGTTTCCCCGAATAAAGCGTCTTCAGATTCAGATCGCGTGTTGATGCACGGTGCTTGCAGAAACAGCTCTTCAGAAAACAGTTATTCCAGAGGAAAGTTCGCCATGTTGTTCTTCTCTCTCTCCTCCGGGTTAGAGGAGGCGGTTCACTTCAGATGCTTTCAGTAGTTCAGGGCTTCAGTTACTATTTATGACATCAGACGGGAGTTGAGTTACCTACTGCGACTAGTTACTAGACCTGGATCTAGGGATGTAACAGTATGAACATTTCTTATCACGATTATAGTGACCAAAATGATCACGGTTATCAGTATTATCACGGTATTGTTAAAATGTGCTGGAGATGTTCAAAAAGTAATGACACATAAATCACTTCACCAAGTTTTATATCTAAAAATCAACAAACAACAAATAAAATGAGATTTTGTTTGCATAACTAAAACAATAACATTACCAATGATGTCCGGAAGTCTCTGTAAATCCACTCGCTGACAGCAGGTGGCGCTTATGGAAAAGCTGAATTAGAGCTGTTTCCCGTAACCTTCGTGGAAAAAGCAGTATTGCGATTACGAACACTTCCTTTAGGTATTACATGGAGCATGAGTTGTTCAAATTGCGGTAATCTTATACGGTTTTAATGATAATTAAAAGACAAAACGGTAATACTAACCGTGGGGGATTTTATCATGATTTATCGTCAAAACGGTAATCGTTACATCCCTACCTGGATCACTAGCTGCACTTCACTGACTGTGGCATCTTTCGTAACGTTTAGTCTGTGAAATTATTGACCTATTACATTAGGCTAAATTTAACCCTTTCTCAATAAAAATATGTTCACAATAATGTTTCACCACAGATTTCTTATACCAAAATGTAGATTTGTGTCAGGTTATGTATGACTTGTGAGTTTTCCCCCATTGACTCTTAATGTAGGCTACATAAGCTGTTTCATAAGAGCATTTGTATTGCTATTGTTTTCCCATTGCAAGTTTTTTGCTGCTTTGTTGAGTTGAAACGGACTTTATAAGCGTTTCCGTTCAGGAACTCGAGGTCTCTGCAGTTTAGTGTGCATCCTGATGCATTTCTTATATAATCTGACTGGAGAGTCTTTCCTCTTGGAGCGTTTAGGGTTCATCCTCTTGAGTTTGCGCTTGAAGTCCACTAGATGTCGCCCTCCTGTCATGTCTTTCCTCCAGTTTTGGATGAGCTGTGCTTCTGGTGGATGAGTTGAGCAACTAAATAGAAGAGACACCACAAAGATTGTTTTTTTTGTTTTTGTTTCATGGTTTACTCATCAGAAACAATTTGATTAACTGTCCATTCTTTAAACTATTGTTTGCGTTACATTATTCTTTGTTTAGTAAATATGTTCTCATTCACAGCACATTGTACCACAAATGTAGGCACAATTAATCTGAATCAGCCAACTTTTGAGTTACCACCCCAGATATTTAATTATAATGTCTATACCAACCTTTGTCCATTGAGACAGTTCTCAGACTGTGGCAGGGTGAAGCAGAATTGTGAAACGAGATCCATCAAAAGCAAATGCACAGGGTCAGTTTCATCCAGTTGCTTGGACAAGATCTTTTGGACGAGCCTGAGAAAGCAATACGTGTCAGTAGATAGTAGAGAAAAATCCTGCTTAAATTAACCCAAAACCAGCCTAAATGTTCTAGACTTGCTTAAAGGAATAGTTCACCCAAAAATGAAAATTAGCTGAAAATGTACCCTCAGGGCATCCACGATGGTGTTTCTTCATGGGAACAGATTTGGAGAAATGTAGCATTGCATCACTTGCTCACCAATGGATCCTCTGCAGTGAATGGGTGCCGTCAGAATGAGAGTCTGATAAAAACATCACAATAATCCACAAATAATCTTAACGACTCCAGTCCATCAGTTAATGTCTTGTGAAGAGAAAAGCTGCATGTTTGTAATAAACAAACCCATCATTAAGCCATTTTAGCTTTAACTGTTGCTTCTGGCCAAAATATGAGTCCATAATCCATATTAACGCTTTCTCACAACGTCTCCTCTCACATCAAAATCCACCGACATGTTTGTTTAGATCTGTTTTGGACTGTTTTTGCTTGTAAACAGTCCTTGATCTGTTCATATTTCTCTCCTGATTCAGACCAGATTACTTTTCCACTAGAGAAAGCAATATTATGAATAAAAGACTCATTTGAAGTTAAAAATGTCTTAATGATGGATTTGTTTCTTACAAAAATGCAGCTTTTCACTTCACAAGACATTAACTGATGGACTGGAGTGGTGTGGATTACTTGTGGATTATTGTGATGTTTTTATCAGCTGTTTGGACTCTCATTCTGACGGCACCCATTCACTGCAGAGCATCCATTGCTGAGCAAGTGATGGAATGCTACATTTCTTCAAATCTGATGAAGAAACAAACTCATCTTCATCTTGGATGGCCCGAAGGTGAGCAAATTTTAAGTGAATTTTCATTTTTGAGTGAAATGTTTGCGCATCCCTAGTAGAGAGATGGTGTTGGTATCATTGGAATCTGGGTGGATATACTGTATTGAATGTGTATTCACCTGGCAGTACAGTTACAGTGGTAAAGGGTTCTCATGCCAGGGTTTCGTAGACCGAATTTCTCCTGTAAAGCAGGGATCTGTAGATGGCATGAATCCAGGTCTCTGTAGAGCTCACACATCTCAAACTTGCCTATGAAACCAAAAAAAAAAAAGAATGAAGCTTTTACAAGATTCCCAATTTGGTCAATTTACAACAGATCTGATATGAGTAATATTTAGCTCACCTTTTTGTGGTCTGTCTGTTATTTTTGGTGCGTCTGTTGGAAGAACGGAAGCTTCAGATTTCCGGGACTGCTGTGTTGTAACAGATGGCTCTGGGGATGTCGAAACTGGACTCGGTTCTTCACTGTTGCTCCTGGAATCTTGTATAGTAAGTGATTCTTCTGTGTTTCTGGTGACCTGGTTTTGTCCCAGAGTGATCGCTTGGTGAAAACTCGTTTCCAGCGTCTCCAGGTCTTGTTCAGGGAGTGTGTCGGTGTAGTTTGCTGCATCTTTCACCACAGCGTATTGAGCAAGTTCATAAATTGCACACCTGCCAATGAGAAAAACAAGGTTCTGTGACTGTGTGCACAACATTATGTGCTCAGAGATTACAGTATGTACAAATCACACTAAAGTGCCAAGTTTTCAGAGAGAACCATTTCCAAAGTTCAACAAGGTTTTTGCTTGTTTTGTGTCTGACATTGAAAGATTTTTAAACCTTTTGAATTTTAACCTAAAATTCAATTGTATAAAATAAAATTATGTATTGTTTTGCTTTTTTGTTTTTAGTTTTGTTTTTTTATTTGAGGTGTGTGCACACATCCAACCATTTTTTTAAAGAAATTAATACTTTTATTCAGCAAGGATGCATTACAGTGATCAAAAGTGACAGTGAAATCATTTATAATGTTACAAAAGATTCAATTTTGATTTTTCTATTCATCAGTAAATCCTGGAATAAAATACAGTATATCACTGTTTCCACAAAAATATGAAGCAGCACAACTCTTTTCAACATTGATAATAATCAGAAATGTTTCTTGAGCAGCAAATCAGCATATTAGAATGATTTCTGAAGAATCATGTGACACTGAAGACTGGAGTAATGATGCTGAAAATTCAGCTTTGCATCAGGAATAGTAAATTATATTTTAATATGTATTCAAACAGAAAAGAGTTATTTTAAATTGTAATAATATTTAACAATTTTCCCACATTTTTGATCAAATAAATGCAGCCTTGGTGAGCATAAGATCATTTTTTCAAGAACAGTAGTGTAGAAATCACTCTAACATGCCAGGTTTTTGGTTCAAATAATTTTTAGTGTTAAAAGTTAATACCTTCATCATTGCTTTTATTTTATGAAAAGTGAGAATGTTTCGCAAACAGAAAAGTGCTGAGTCAAATGAAACCGAATACATACATGCCCCACCACGTTCTCTTGGCGCACTGCATCCGCTGAGAGAACTCAAAGCAGCGCATCTTTAGCACGTTGAAGTATCCGTAGCCCACAAGGTTGGACATGGTATTATTAACACCCAGGAGACAGCGGCGGAACCTGGATGGATATCACAAGACCTGATTACAATGTCATAAGATACAGTAATCCGAGACGCTCGCTCAGTGAAATAACTCTCTGGTTATGTTGGACATGTCTCATGTTACTCAACTGAACATTATGGAATGAATGTTCAGTGCTGGTAGTCTCAACATTTCCCGCTCTAATGAATAAAGCAGGACATACCTGTTGTCACAGTCACAGTGTGATAAAGTGAAGATGTTCGTGTTGAAGACACCGTGATCGTATGAAAAAGAGGCGATGGTGTCTTTACAGTGGTCGTGTTCTCTGCAGCATTTATCCGTATCTTCAAAGACACCTGCAGAAGACAAGTGAACAGGTAAGGATTTTTCCTTTTTTTTTTTCTTTTCAAATTCAATTAAATTAACCAGTTTAATTTACAACTTACCTTAATGTAAATATTTTTACCTTAAATTAAATTTTAGTTTAATATACACTGGGGTTCAAAAGTTTGGGGCCACTTGTGAAAATGCTTCTATTTATATTTTATCTAATTTAAAAGAAAACAGTACAAATTAAATTATGAGAATTTTTGGAAAAAAATATTTATATTAATATTTTATTATTAGAATTAACATAGCAATTAGTACATTTTACAGACATATATATATATATATATAATTCGAAATATTTGCAATTAGAAATAATAAAATTAAAATGTTGATAGATTGATTGATTGATATAATCCGACTTACCCAGGTCAACAAAGGCCATAGCCTTATTTCCTGAGCCACACCACAGAGTCCCTGGAATCATCCATGCTCGCTTTGAGCGGTGCAGCATCTGTCTGGAACTTTCTCCACTGTCCTGGCGCTCAAATCCATCAGGCTCAACGCTCCTCAGGTCCCTGGCCCTCCGTACAGATGCTGTAAATTCCTCTGTAATGCCTGCAGCCTCACAGGGGCCGTGAGGTTCAATCAGCTCCCTGATGTCAAAGCGTTCATCAAGGGTCTTTGAGAAAGAACTGTCTTCCCAGCATCTGGACAGGTAACTCTCAATCACAGATTGCTCATCACTTGTTATGCAGCTAAAAAGGCTGTTGTTTTTGTTCCAGATGCTGTCATACAAGAGAAGAGACGTCCGAGTCCTTCGGAGAAATGCATACTGTGTTTGCCCATCTGAAGCGGATCTAGTCCAAATGCAGAACGTGTCAGCACTGAAACAAGCATGAAACAGCATGAAAAGGTACAGAATTGCCTGTAAAAGGTGTTTGCTTTGCATTTTTATGGCAAAATTAATAATTGTACAGCAATTGTGTGTATTTTTAGAATGAATGAATAGCCAGAGGTGCTGCAGGGTAACTGGGTTTTTAACCCCTCATCTCTGGCAAAGATTGCGCCTCAACCCCGCCTTATTTATACTCCGTATGTGGGATCTTCCTTGCATCGTGGCTCATGGCCACATCAGAGCAGACAGGGTGGGATGACACAAGGGGGTGTGTCTTTGGTAAATACAGGCTTGGAAGCACAGATGTCTGCACACACATGTACATAAAAGATGTAAATCAGATCATAAACCCTCCCCGTTTCCTGGGTTCACACGAGTATAATTATCTCTCTGGCTGATCACTATCATTTTTTATTAGTGTCAACAATGCCCTCAGCAGTAAACATTTAATATCTCATTACTCATGATGAAATGATTTTTTACAACGTGACAAAAAGATTCAAACTCCACGTGGGAGGAGAAAGAAACATGCGATCCAAAACCATTACATTTATGTGTTCAGGTTAAATTAGGTCAGCATTTGCATTCTGTGCATTACTATATTAAAGTTTTATTAAAAATCATTAAGTGCTTATTTATTTAGCATGCTGTCTGCACATAAATTGAATTTTTTTTAGCAGTCTTAAATATTTATTACTAGCCACAAACCATATTTTGCATTTATTTATGCAAAAAAAGTCCCTAAAATAATTTATTTTTATTGCATATTAATAACTAACATATTCCTTACAGGCAATTCCTTTCTCTCGGTTAAACTGCAGCTGTCACAAAATCATAAAGAAAAAATTTTCATTCTGCTGACTTAATGTCCAGAATATTTCACATGTTAGAACATCAAGTTAAAAAAAATATATAATAATTACTTCAGCCATGCTATATAAATTTGATATCACATTTTCCACTTTGATAAAGCACAAATTGCTCATGTCAGTGAGTTTCAGATTAATATTGCATTTTAAATCATGTATTGTCTTTCAGTTCCTAACAAAGTTACCAGCCAACTGGCCAAATTATATGGCAATTTTTATCTGGGACTTGGCGAGTGTTTACATGAGGATGCAAAGGTCACACGAGTTTGTTGTACGTGTCCGCCCGCGCTGATTGGCGCAGAGCTCGCCTGATTCGCACAAAGTTTCTGCCCTGTCACCATTGGATGCGGTCCTAATCCGTTAACCATTACAGCACTTTTATTGCTGGTACTTCCACCGGTAAATGTAATTCCAGCATCCGTCAAATTAGGAAAAACACAAGCTCGAGGAAACTGAAGAAAATTACAAGATCGCTATCAAATTAGAAGTTAAAAATGTTTTCTTTCAGCAATTACTTTACTAAAAGGTAGAATGCTCTCAGGGGAATACTTACACTGGCTGTTAGCTCAATTTGGAATAATTGCAATTACGCCATTACAGTCAAAACTGGAATGAGCTGGAATTTCTTCGGTGCAGGGTAATGGATATTCATTCAAAACAGCCTTTAGAAAGACATAAAATAGACTCATTCTGAAAATGAGAAACGAGTTAGCATAATATGTTGAGTGAGGGTATTTTTATGTTATTGAAAGTGATGCGTGTTATTTCTGCACCATTGGTGCCCTCAACAAGAATTGAAAAAATTATGTTTTCCAACAGGTTTCCCAAACACTGCCACTGGTCAGCAAACAGATAGCTCCGCCTCCAAACTTACGCCACTGGTTGAGTCACTAGGCGCGTTTCCATTACCCTTCAAATTGCACAAATTGAAATTGCGAATTGAAAATATGCCTAATGGAAACGCGTAAATTTCGCAAAAACGCCCATTTATCGCAAAAACGTTTTTATGCTCACATGAGATGGTTTTTCAGGCAATGCGAAAAAGGAATAATTCGCAAAACTGCAATGGAAACGTTTTTTTCGCATTTACAGGTCACATGGCGTATGTAAAAAGTCATATGATCATTCTTCGATGTACTATAACCTCCAAGAAACACTTCATACGTGGCGGCGCTCCAGTATAAGGGGCTTTCCCTAATGTTAATGCTTAGATAATTTACACTGCACACGTCTGCGGTGCAGTGTGGCTCTGATACGGTCACTGAAGCTGATTGCAGCCACTCAATGCTTGTGATTATTCCAGCCACGCCACGCACGTTTCTGAAGCAGATCTCTGTGCTGCTACTGTAAAGATACACGCATACGCCTCCTTTTAATAAATATAGCCAAAATCCGTTGCCACGACTTATCGCGAGAGGCAAACGGTTACGTTTTAGTCGCATAACATTGGTTAATGGAAACGCCGTCATTTCGCAATACTTTTTTATCGACATTTATCAAATATCGCCAAAGTTTTGCGCAAATCTGTAATGGAAACGCACCTACGTTGCCGTATCAACCAACCAAGAGGTTTAAACAAACAGAATAATGTTCTGATAGTGTGATAGACTGTCAATGTTTACATTTTCAGGTAAACCACCCTACTTACAGGAAACATAGTTTTTTTTGTCATAGAAATGGCCTTATACGGTGCTTCAGTGATGGCGTACCAGCTGGATATTTCGAATAGGATTTTTCCATCGGCTTTTGGATTATTGTACAAAATATGCTCTGTAATGAACAAAAGTTTATGATTCTTACAAGTGTTCTTCAACAAGGTAGTCTTCACAAATTAACATAACTTCTATGTTTTTTGAAGCATAAATACAGTTGCCAGAAGCTAAACATGGGCTATAAATGAACTACACCACAGTTACGACTTCAGCGTCACCACCATGAAGCTTCCAGCAACTCTGTCTTCATTTAAATGAACATTTTCCTGAAAGTTTGCCTTGAATAGTTTGCAAGAGCGTGATTAAAGGTATAAAAGCAGACTAGTGAGTAGATGAGTTTACCTGTTTGGCTTGTAGATGATTAATGCATTTATAGACTCTTGTTAGCAACGGCCTTTCTCATGACTAGCAAAAGCTTGGAATAAAACATGAAAATATCTCAAGCGTGTTGTGTTTAAGACCACAGATCTTATTTAAGGCATTTAACCAAATACCCCATTAAAAACCCCATTGACTTCACGGCAATGAAATCAGTAATATAAGTTTGAAATTAGTCAATATTTTTGCGATTCATTTTGGTGCCACTACGATTTCAACATACTTTTCTAAACGAAATAGCTAAACGAAAATACAAACATTTAGGTCTAATCAGAAAAAAAAGCAAAGTAGTGTCTTGTCAACTTGTAGGGAACATTGGGTTAATCTCTTACATAATGATGTAAGTAAACATGATGGCAATAGATGAAAGACCCAGGGGAGTCTTAATTCCTCATCACTGTTCGAAGGTCAAAGCTTTGGGAATGATTTTAAAGAACATGACCTTAAGAGATAGTATACTAACATTAGACACAACACCAAAAAGCCAGCCCTCGCATGACACCTCGAACCAGAGATGTATAGAGTTCACCTGATGACCTTTGTTCCAGTTCTAGAAAAATACATAAGCAGTTCACGTCACTGATTCAGAGGCAATAGCTGAGAACACTTTATTGGGTATTAACAACACTTGTAAACATGTTACAGAAATAAATTCAAACTTAACAATGATAATAACGTATAATTAGGGAACACGTCCATGAATTCCATGCACATAACAACAGGACATTTCCATATGTAGTTGATGCAATATTGAACTTCAACAACCTGTCATTTACTGGATATAACTCTAATACTTTTCTAAACTTTATAGTCACAATTTGTTTTACACAGTCTTTCTCATCTGTGACATACTGATTGAAACAAACATAAATTAATAATAGACATATGCAAGGGCAGCGTATATTTCTAATGCCAAATAAATGGTATTGTATTGTGCATTGAACTGGTTTTACATGAGTAAAGTCCATTTTCCCAATGTCCTTGAGTATATGTGGTTGCAGGGTTTGATGACTAATATATTTGCGTCACTGAATCTGTATTCATGAGGTTTTGTTCTTTAAGGCATTTACTGAGTGAAAAAATATCATACACTGTCTTTTTCCCACCAAAAAACAAAGTAACTGGGTTTTCTAGGTTTTTCTCGGTTGGACCACTACAGCTCATCACAGGGTTTCAGGAGAGGCAAAGACAAAGGCTTTTTTTTCTGAATGAAAAGAAAACATTATCAGCAGTTCGAGCTTGTAAGCGAGATTACTTTTTTGGAAGATGGAACCGTATACGGTCATCTTTGGAGATACAACACCTCAGTCATCCGCCTCAACGTTGTTTTGATTCAACAGAACATGCCAGCGTTCGATCTTCTTGTCCTTGTTCTTGAGACATTCATACCAGTGCTTCAGACTTTCGCCTTTAGCTGTGATACCAAGCTGGCAGCCACCTGTGTGGAAAAGACACATGAAAAGCTTAAATGAACAGTTCACCTAAAAATGAAAATTTGCTGAAAACGTATTCACCCTTAGTTTCTTCATGAGAACAGATTTGGAGAAATGTAGCATTCCACCACTTGCTCACCAATGGATGCTCTGCAGTGAATGGGTGCCGTCAGAATGACAGTCCAAACAGCTGATAAAAACATCACAATAATCCACACCACTCCAGTCCATCAATTAACATTTTGTTAAGTGAAAAGCTGCATGTTTGTGAGAAACAAATCCATCATTACAGTGTTTTAACGAATTGTCACTTCTGGTCAAAATTCTCATAATCTATAATAACACTTCCTCCAGTGAAAAACTATGGTTTATTCCAGCCGTGCCACGCACGTTTCTGAAGCGGCTCTCTTTGCTGCTTCTGTAAAGATACACGCATACGCCTCCTTTTAATAAATATAGCCAAAATCCGTTGCCACGACTTATCGCGAGAGGCAAACGGTTACGTTTTAGTCGCATAACATTGGTTAATGGAAACGCCGTCATTTCGCAATACTTTTTTATCGACATTTATCAAATATCGCCAAAGTTTTGCGCAAATCTGTAATGGAAACGCACCTACGTTGCCGTATCAACCAACCAAGAGGTTTAAACAAACAGAATAATGTTCTGATAGTGTGATAGACTGTCAATGTTTACATTTTCAGGTAAACCACCCTACTTACAGGAAACATAGTTTTTTTTGTCATAGAAATGGCCTTATACGGTGCTTCAGTGATGGCGTACCAGCTGGATATTTCGAATAGGATTTTTCCATCGGCTTTTGGATTATTGTACAAAATATGCTCTGTAATGAACAAAAGTTTATGATTCTTACAAGTGTTCTTCAACAAGGTAGTCTTCACAAATTAACATAACTTCTATGTTTTTTGAAGCATAAATACAGTTGCCAGAAGCTAAACATGGGCTATAAATGAACTACACCACAGTTACGACTTCAGCGTCACCACCATGAAGCTTCCAGCAACTCTGTCTTCATTTAAATGAACATTTTCCTGAAAGTTTGCCTTGAATAGTTTGCAAGAGCGTGATTAAAGGTATAAAAGCAGACTAGTGAGTAGATGAGTTTACCTGTTTGGCTTGTAGATGATTAATGCATTTATAGACTCTTGTTAGCAACGGCCTTTCTCATGACTAGCAAAAGCTTGGAATAAAACATGAAAATATCTCAAGCGTGTTGTGTTTAAGACCACAGATCTTATTTAAGGCATTTAACCAAATACCCCATTAAAAACCCCATTGACTTCACGGCAATGAAATCAGTAATATAAGTTTGAAATTAGTCAATATTTTTGCGATTCATTTTGGTGCCACTACGATTTCAACATACTTTTCTAAACGAAATAGCTAAACGAAAATACAAACATTTAGGTCTAATCAGAAAAAAAAGCAAAGTAGTGTCTTGTCAACTTGTAGGGAACATTGGGTTAATCTCTTACATAATGATGTAAGTAAACATGATGGCAATAGATGAAAGACCCAGGGGAGTCTTAATTCCTCATCACTGTTCGAAGGTCAAAGCTTTGGGAATGATTTTAAAGAACATGACCTTAAGAGATAGTATACTAACATTAGACACAACACCAAAAAGCCAGCCCTCGCATGACACCTCGAACCAGAGATGTATAGAGTTCACCTGATGACCTTTGTTCCAGTTCTAGAAAAATACATAAGCAGTTCACGTCACTGATTCAGAGGCAATAGCTGAGAACACTTTATTGGGTATTAACAACACTTGTAAACATGTTACAGAAATAAATTCAAACTTAACAATGATAATAACGTATAATTAGGGAACACGTCCATGAATTCCATGCACATAACAACAGGACATTTCCATATGTAGTTGATGCAATATTGAACTTCAACAACCTGTCATTTACTGGATATAACTCTAATACTTTTCTAAACTTTATAGTCACAATTTGTTTTACACAGTCTTTCTCATCTGTGACATACTGATTGAAACAAACATAAATTAATAATAGACATATGCAAGGGCAGCGTATATTTCTAATGCCAAATAAATGGTATTGTATTGTGCATTGAACTGGTTTTACATGAGTAAAGTCCATTTTCCCAATGTCCTTGAGTATATGTGGTTGCAGGGTTTGATGACTAATATATTTGCGTCACTGAATCTGTATTCATGAGGTTTTGTTCTTTAAGGCATTTACTGAGTGAAAAAATATCATACACTGTCTTTTTCCCACCAAAAAACAAAGTAACTGGGTTTTCTAGGTTTTTCTCGGTTGGACCACTACAGCTCATCACAGGGTTTCAGGAGAGGCAAAGACAAAGGCTTTTTTTTCTGAATGAAAAGAAAACATTATCAGCAGTTCGAGCTTGTAAGCGAGATTACTTTTTTGGAAGATGGAACCGTATACGGTCATCTTTGGAGATACAACACCTCAGTCATCCGCCTCAACGTTGTTTTGATTCAACAGAACATGCCAGCGTTCGATCTTCTTGTCCTTGTTCTTGAGACATTCATACCAGTGCTTCAGACTTTCGCCTTTAGCTGTGATACCAAGCTGGCAGCCACCTGTGTGGAAAAGACACATGAAAAGCTTAAATGAACAGTTCACCTAAAAATGAAAATTTGCTGAAAACGTATTCACCCTTAGTTTCTTCATGAGAACAGATTTGGAGAAATGTAGCATTCCACCACTTGCTCACCAATGGATGCTCTGCAGTGAATGGGTGCCGTCAGAATGACAGTCCAAACAGCTGATAAAAACATCACAATAATCCACACCACTCCAGTCCATCAATTAACATTTTGTTAAGTGAAAAGCTGCATGTTTGTGAGAAACAAATCCATCATTACAGTGTTTTAACGAATTGTCACTTCTGGTCAAAATTCTCATAATCTATAATAACACTTCCTCCAGTGAAAAACTCAATTTTGTCCTTTCACATCAAACTCCACCCACATATTTGTTTAGAGCTGTTTTGGACTGTGTTGACTTGTAAATGGTGCTTGATGTGTGCATATTTCTCTCCAGATTCAGACGAGACGACTGGATAGAGGACTCGTATTTTGGCCTGAAGCACAAATTTGAAGTTAAAAACATCTTAATGATGGATTTGTTTCAAACACGCAGCTTTTTGCTTCACAAGACATTAATTGATGGACTGGAGTG